TGTGTGCTGTCAGGGTCATAAAACCCATTGACTTTGTTCTCAATCTCACGGGACCACAAAATAGCGATTGTGCTCGTACGAAAACCCGAAAGCGTTTCAAACGGAGCAGCTGCACAGGTTGTGTCGCATGCCGGTGCCCTCAGAGATGCTGTTTTTCTGTTTTAGGAAGTCACTGGTTGTAAAAATCATGGTGTTTATGCATATTATGTTTTGTAAAGCACTTGAAATGCATGTTTCGAGGGCTAGGGCTGCATTGACGTCTGTTTAAGATATTAAAATGCTGTTAAAAGTTTCATTAGACTACACTGAAGATCATTTGGAGTCATTTATCTGTCATTTACTGTTATAATAACTTTAAAAATGGTTGAACACTAAGACCTGCTGTTGCATTTCTGCAGCATTCAGACGAAATAGTCTCATATTCACACTGATTTACATTTATTTTGGTGTGTTGCAATTTTTTCTGTCTCCAAACTTAAGATGCGAAACGGTCCCCAATGGTGTCAGTAGGCAGAGATTGTGTTTTGTGGCATGCTGGGAGATTGAATTTGTAAATTATTTCATGCCAGACGTGTTGCTATGACACATTTTACAGTGTGTTCTGCTATAAAATGTAGTTTTAACCCATATTTAGTAAAAAATTCATATTTAATAGCTTTAAACCTATGTACAATGCTGCTACAGTTGGTCTCTGTGATTAAAGTAATAGTTTTCCCAAAGCTGACATTTGTCATATTTTACCATGTTATTCTGAACCTTTTAAGGTATATAAATACATATTCAACAACAACAACAATATCAGACGTTTAGCAGAATGTCCTGCTCTTTTACATACAATGGAAGTGAATGAGGACTGAAGCTCCACAAATGACCGTAGAAGCTCCATGATTTTGTGTTTGATGGAAGAAAGTCAGTCATACAGGTTTGAAAAGACCTGAGGGTGAGTGAAAAATTACTGAATTAGCATTAAGAGTGAATTGCGATCAAGTGTGTAATTGTCAGGTGTCACAATGTAGTAGAACCAAATTTCGTTAAACTGCCATAAAAGTATGCATAGCTGTGCATTTGTGGACTAGCATAAATAATCTCATTGCTTTACATTATTCCATAGCAAACCTCTTTATGAATTCAAGTGTAAATAAACATAAGCCAAGCTCTGTATTAAAATATGGATGTAATGGAAGTTAGTCATTGTGATTGGTTTGGCTGCAGTGCCAACCGATACAGTTCCAGCGCTCCTTGTTGATTTCAGTGTATAATTTGCATAATAAATCCTTTTGGTGCATATGGTAAGCTGTTCCTCATTGTACTCACCATCGGGTGCAAATCAGCATGATGCACCAAGGGCAGATTGCAGTAATGTAAATCCAATTACACTTCCCTCTTGAAATAACAGTATTTGCAAAATACTCGACATCTCGTGGTGCTCAACATACTAACAGGGTTGACAGATAAAATATTTGTTTAGTAACAGATGGATTCATTCTGGACTTTTGGAATTGGATGCCAAAATAGACTCCGTCTGAAACAAATTGCTGTGATATGGACCACACAGAACCACAAAGGGAAGGATGATACAGTGCATACTTGGATCTACACGAATAACCATCTGTTGATTCTTTTGATCTGTGAATTGCATGTCATACGCCGGTGTGGGACCACTGCAGACTGTTTACACTCATAGTAAACTGATAGACATATAACTTGATTTTCACAACACAGTTTAAGATTATGAAGATTAGCTCTTAAACCTAGTCAGTATGTACATTTTGATATAAAATGTAACACCAGAATTCTCTGCAATGACCAGTGAAAAAATAAATCCAAAATTGTGGACATAGAGTCACGTCAGTTATATATAATTAGTATTTTATTCAGTTCAAGAAACTGTTGATAAATTATTTTTTGCATATTTTTATAGGCATTGCCTCATTTAGGAAAGAGACGCCTTTCATTAGCTTAGCAACATGATGAAATCCAGATCTACTGAAATGAAGTGACGAGAGTTTTACGTGAAGTGCATTAATTGTCTATGAAAACGGCATGAAGTGTAGCAGGGTAAAAGATTTTGGAATACAGATGGTAGAGGAACATTGTTGGAACATTCTCCCAACATAAGGGAAACATTTTATTGATAATAATTTGTAGAACTTATACATTTCATTCAGTACCAAAAAGTAACAGTAAAAACGGCTAAATCGCATTTAACTGCATTGTTATCTTAGCAACATGCTAACATCAAACTCTATTGAAATCAAGTCACAACGCCATTTGTCCATCAGAACAAGACATGAAGTACAGCAGAGTAATAAGGGTATGTTTACACGACAGCAGTATACTAAAAACAAAACTCTTAAAACACCGTTTTGTGCATGTCAGGCCAGAAGTTGGCGGTCACTTTGTAAAGAAACACTATACGCATGATGCCAGCGATTTCACAAATTGCGTACTTGTAGTTTATATGAAGAAGATAACGGTTTGTGTTTTTAGGCCCCCAAAATGCCATTGTCGTAGAAATAAACGGCCAAAACGCCCCCTAAAAGTTATTGGACTATAGAGGTTAGGAGAACATTAGAGGAAACGTTCTATTTATAATTTGTAGAACTTGGATACTTATACATTTTATTCAGTACTAAAATCTAATTCAAATTGTCATTGTTAGCAACTTGCTAATGAAATCTATGTTATACAGTTATACAGAAAGCAAAATGCAGGGTCGTGAAATGAAAAATGTCTAGTTCTTTTTACTTGAGAGTCGTGTTTTTAGAACACCATCTCCTGCGCAAAACTCAAATGCAGTGGTCCCATGACATGTCCATGGGCAGTCGTGGCCTAATGGTTAGACAGTCAAACTTGTAACCCGAAGGACATGGGTTTGAGTCCTGGTACCAGCAGGGATTGTAGGTGGGGGGGGGAGTGAATGACCAGCGCTCACTTGCACCCTCAATACCACGACTGAGGTGGGACGCTTGAGCAAGGCACTGAACCCCCAACTGCTCCCAGGGCGCTGCTATAATATGGCTGCCCACTGCTCCGTGTGTGTGTTCACTGCTGTGTGTGTGCACTTGGATGGGCAAAATGCAGAGCACAAATTCTGAGTATGGGACACCATACTTTGCTACATTTTACTTTACTTCACTTTAATGCATGTTTATTGTAGAGAACGATGGAAGAGCAGTGTGGTGGAATGCAAAAACGTGTTCTGTATGACCTATCCGCTTTTTCCTAGCTATACTGTGTACCCTGAGTCATATCATTTGTCTTGTCTTACTAGATTTTTTTTGTTATGCCTACTGAAGTCTTATTCCTCAACCAGAACATGATCTGAGTTTCCGTGACTGGCTCAGTCTGTTTCCTAATCTTCCTGCTGGCTGGATCCTCCCGTCAGCGTTCAGCTTTTCGAAACTGTCACATCACAATGATAGATTCTCAACATTATAACAGCATGCAGCTGCCACTCGGCCCCGCACGTGTGGTCGGTTCGGCTGAGGCTGCCTGTCGGACATCCCCGAACGCGCCCGGTCTCCTGGGCTCCGGGAAGAATGGGGCAGAGTCGTCAACTAATTCATCAATGTGCCGTGTGGGAAGCAAACAATCGCGAAAATGCTTAGGAACAGGAAATAGCACAAATGAGAGTAAAGAGCTCTCCTCGGCCCACTGGAATTCCCCCAGGTTACAGCAGTGTGGGAGACTTGAGTACAGTTTTGGGAACCTTTACGTTCAATACGAGCCTGGTTCGCACTCCGTCATGCTGTAAGTGAAGCTGGCTGGGCAGACAACACTGCAGCCTGTTTGAATCCATCGGCTCAGTCATGATTCTATAAGACTTTTTTATATGGTCTTTTGCCACATTGTAATTGAGGCATGCTGGGGGTTTCCATGACGACCGTCCTCTATGTCCAGGATTGTTTGCGGGAACAGATTGAAAAGGTATCCTATGGGAACTGTTTTCTAGTTTGTACCGATGCACAGCCACAGCTCAGAAACGCTCTAGGCTTGGGATCAAACACCGACTTATGCTAAAAAGGGCCTATTAAACGATTCACTTGCAGATGTTCACAAAACATTTTTCTAGTTGAAACCACATTTTTGTAACCGCTTTTTAGTCACTAACAAAGGTTATGGAATGGCTGACAGATCAGCAGTTCATATGCATTTATCTATATATAAACATTTATCTATCTATCTATCTATCTATCTATCTATCTATCTATCTATCTATCTCTCTATAACTCTAGCTATATCTATCTTAGTTGTTAATGAGTTATAATATTATTAATAAAACTCTATAAATATTATATAAATAAATAATATATAAATAGTTCTGTATCTTAACTATAATATATAAACAATGAAACTATATTAATATGTAATAATGTATTAATAAATAATGAAACTAAACTTATTAAATAATATAGTACATCAATTATATTAACAATATAGTAGTAAGATTCAAGGTTCATAGAAATTAAACTAAAAATAATGATTAAATAATAATGATATATATATACTGTATATTAGAAGTCAATTTAATATAGTGGTATAATAGCATTAGCCTCAAAGCTAACTAGCTAAAAAGAGAATGATTTTGATTACCAGATAGATAGATAGATAGATATGTTTTATGTATGTATGTATGTATGTATGTATGTATGTATGTATGTATGTATGTATGTATGTATGTATGTATGTATGTATGTATGTATGTATGTATGTATGTATGTATGTATGTATGTATGTATGTATGTATGTATGTATGTATGTATGTATGTATGTATGTATGTATTTTTTTCAATGCTATCAATGTGGTATGAATTTTTGATGATTTTTTGTGGTAATCGACATCATTCTCTTTTAGCTCATTTCCAACAGCATTCTCTTTAAATGAAAACATGTACATTTTCTATGCTTTAATATGAAATTGCAGACTTTTTGCACACTTTGTTTGTAAACTGTACCAATGTACTGTGCTGTCTGTGTTTGTTTTCCTGACTCAGCAGGCCTCAGCTCACCGCCTGCCAACATCACCACATCAGCCGTCCCCAGCATTGTCACTCCTATCGTCAACGGCTTTACCAGCATCCCTCACCAGCCCAACGGACACCCTGCGGTCGAGGCCATGTACACCAACGGACTGCCCTCTTATTCCACCCAAAGCCCCACGGCTGCAGACACCCTACAACAGGCCTTCACCGGGGTGCAGCAATATACAGGTTCACTACCTCAATCTGCCTCCTAAAATATATATATATATATATTCTATTTTTGTGCTGCTTACTTAAAAATGGATGGTTGTTTTTGACCAACCATGTGTCAGTTTGTCTTTTTTTCTTCTTTCTTTTGAGTAGCCTTGTTCAATGCTGTATCACATAAATCCAGGATGTGTTATCACACAAATTTCTCTTTGCACGTACAGCCATCTACCCAGCGACCACACTGACCCCTATTGGCCAAAGCTTGCCACAGCCACCGCAAGTCATTCAACAGCAGCAGCAGAGAGAAGGTGAGGGTGAGAGATTTTTCATTTGTTTTGGCATAAGGATCAATACTACATGCATGATGATGAGGGAATAGTTCATTATGCTAAAATAATTGCAGAAAGCATCTTCCATTAAAGGAATAGTTCAGCCAAAAATGAAAATTTGCTGATTTATGCACCCTCAGGCCATCCAAGATGTAGATGAGTTTGTTTCTTCATCAGAACAGATTTGGAGAAATGTAGCATTACATCACTTGCTCACCAATGGATCCTCTGCAGTGAATGGGTGCTGTCAGAATGAGAGTCCAAACAGCTGATAAAACATCACAATAATCCACAAGTAATCCACACGACTCCCGTCCATCAGTTAACGTATCATGAATTGAAAAATGTAAGTGTAAGAAATAAATCCATCAAGGTTCCGGTTCAAATACGAGTCCTCTATCCATAATATTGCTTTCTCCAGTGAAAATGTCATCTTGTCTGAATCATGAGAGAAATATCCACAGACCAAGCACTGTTTACAAGCAAAAACAATTCGGAACATTTCTAAACAATTGGATTTTGACGTGAGAGGACAACAAGGGATGGACATTTCCACTGGAGGATGGATTATTATTATGGATTATGGACTCGTATTTTGACCAGAAGTGATGGTTTAAAGTTCAAATTTCTTATTGATGGATTTGTTTTTCTTACAAACACACCTCTTTTCATTTCACAAGACGTTAATTGATGGACTGTAGTCGTGTGAATTATTGTGATGTTTTTATCAGCTGTTTGGGCTTTCATTCTGACGGCACCCATTCACTGCAGAGGATCCATTGGTGAGCAAGTGATGCGATGCTAAACATCTCCAAATCTGTTTATTAAACAAGCTAATCTACATCTTGGATTGCCTGAGGATGAGTAAATTTTCATTTTTGGGTGAACTATCCCTGTCAATCTTTTTAATTAATAAAATACTTGCTATAAATAAACACAAGTATTTAGTACTTAAAATAAAAAATTTGGCAATTTTTTAAGCACGTGTTAGCATTATGATAAAAAGTACATGTAACAACATTACACTCTGAAACAAAGGGGCACAGTGGCCTGAAATTAAAAATATTATTTAAATATAATTATATTTTATATATATATAAAGTTGTCTCTGTGAGACTCCACATTGAGTAACAACGTATTTGGTATTTGTGTTGCAGGACCAGAGGGCTGCAACCTCTTCATCTACCATCTACCGCAGGAATTTGGCGACAACGAGCTCATGCAGATGTTCCTTCCGTTTGGCACAGTCATCTCCTCCAAGGTCTTCATGGACAGAGCCACCAACCAGAGCAAATGTTTTGGTGAGACAAATCAGCATGCATATTCATTTCTGCGTTTTGGTAATAGTACTAGATGACAATGTTCTCAAAATAGCTAAATATCAGCCGATTAATCTGCCTAGCCTAATTCCAGCATCAATATTAAACTTAAATATCAGTAAAAAGTCACAAAAATGAACAAAAAAACAGTAAAAAATATTTGATTACAACATGCTAAATGTGAATAACTGTAGAACAAGTATTGCGTAAGTGAATTACAGCCCATCCCAAAACAACCTACAATCAGTCTCTGTCCGTTTCACAATGTAAACTCCATTCTGTATTCTGTGTCAAGCCACAAACCGGAGCGCTGCCTTTTAAAAAGCCCTGAGCCAGAAAAAAAGTCCTAAGTGAAGCAAAAAGGCCCATTATGGATCAACATCTGTTCCCGCTCCAGGGGGAGACATTTCCCAAGCCTCAATTAATAGCAGCTCCCGTCTCCTGGGGGAGGTTAATAAGATATAAATTTGTGAAGTAGGACCTATTTGCGGTATTGACTTATACACTATGCATTTACTGCATAATGTCAGGTCTGGGTAACAGGCGCTCGGTAGAGTAATTAATCTGCGGTGGGGGCCGCGGCCCGAGATGGACCGATGGGACTTGGCTGAGAGCACTGACATACATAGATTCCCTATTAAGCAGCCTTGTGGCTTTATCCCCCACGTCACCTCCATGCGGACCCTCTCGTCTTGTAGATACAAGCCTCGAAATGGGGGCAGTTCTAGGCACGGTTAGGCGCCTAGGCCACTCTGCTCCCAGGTGGTTGATGGCCAATGAAAGCGCCCGCTGTTTTTCACGGTTCACTGCCGGTTCCTAATGACACTCGCAATGCCAGCGAAAGTGCATCCTCGATTCATTTTGGCCTTTTGGTCACTGGCTTTTAAAAGCCTATGGGTTTGAATGGGAAGCCGGGGTCGTCACGGACGAATGTGGTTTGCATGCTGTGGGTGGCCCCGTTTCGGAGTCCTGTGGGGTGATTTGTCCCTGTTCTATACCACCAGAGGCTTATATATGCTCAAAAGTAGCCCACACAGATGCATATATGGTGATTTTTCAGAGATCGAAGTGGAAATAGGTTCATAAAAGAGCCATTTTTGACTTGTTGGAAACTTGAACGGTGGTTTAATATGATGCCATGTAATCAATTTTAGTACCCGAACGACTTGGTTCACGTCTGTTCTCGTGATCTCTTGCAGGCTTCGTGAGCTTCGACAACCCAGCAAGTGCACAGGCTGCTATCCAGGCCATGAACGGCTTTCAGATCGGCATGAAGAGGTTGAAAGTGCAGTTAAAACGGCCGAAGGATGCGAGCCGCCCGTACTGACAGGGCCCAACCCACACAGGGCTCTCAGCAACAGCACAGGTACCACTTTTGGACAACAGACACGATTTTTAACAGGAAGACACAAGACAATTAACCTGTAAATCTAAATGATTTTACAAACTTGAGACTTGTTTCTTTCATTTATTAAATATTCAATATATTTAGTATTCATAGAAATACATTTACATGTATTATTATTGTTATTATTAAATATATTTAATAGAAATTAAATATTCAATATATTTAATATTCATAAAATGCATTTAAGTGCACTATTTGTCATTCTTATTGTTATTTTTATTAATAATAACAATATATATATATATATATATATATATATATATATATTGTATGATATCAAATAATTTGTGTATTTGTGTTGTTGTTATTAAATTACATTTAGTATGTATTATAGTACTTCAATATATAAAATACAATTATTAATTAAATAATAATTATTTTATATTAATTTATAGTATATAATTTTATCGTAAATACCTTATATTAGATATTATTTGTAGTTTAATCTTCTTTTACAGGATTTGAAGAGTGAAATCTCAAAAGGAATTTTACTTTTTCTTTCAAAACAAGCAAGAACAACATGAATGGATTTTTTTGAAGACATATCAGCATTTATTTTATGAAGATGTTCGGTACAGAGGAGGGGTTGCAGGTGAACCGGCACCCGTGGACAAACCACACTCGGCACAGCGCACGAAAGACAAGTGGAAGATCTCTCTAAAGACAGAGAACTCAACATGTCCTGTCTCTCGCTGAGCTTCGCACCGTCAGTCAAGCAACAAACAAAAAGAAAAAAAACGAGCGAGAACAACTTCAATTTCTATATACATATTATACACACATATGCTATTTAAAGGAAGAGGCGCTTATGGCTTTTATTACGCTGGACAAATGAGGGTTAAACTTGAAGACCAAGATAAAATGCAGTGGAAAAAAAAGAAGCTCTTCTTGTCCCGCTAGTGGACTTTCTTTCTCTTTTCCTCTTACCTTTTCTTCTGTCACCGTCTTTCATCAAACGCAGGACATTCTGTGGTCACAGAGGTTTCCATGCCCTCAGTGAAACTGACAAATCTTTCACCCCAAAGGGACCAAAGGACCAAACATTTTTATTCCTCAACAGAAATATATGGTATTAATAACAATACTAATACTACAAACTACTACTAACAACATAAGTTTAAAGAAAAAAAAGCATAAATATTCGCTTCAGGTCGGAAGAGGAAAGGGATTTTGATTTCTTTTCCTTTTACATTTATAGCTACTGGGTTTCAGAATATTTAAACAAAATAGAAAAAAACGAAGAAAAAAAGTATTTTAAAAGCTATACTATTTTAGTGGAGTAGAATATGTGGATTGGAGATTGTTAGGAGCATGTTCAGCCATTTTCATCCATGAAGAAAAAAAACAAGGGGGGAAACTGTCCATCATCCATCATCTTTTTTTTTGCTCTGAGGTTCCTCAGATGTCAAAAATAGGCCCACATTCCAGAGAACAAATGCTGAGTATAACTATATATGCATGTGCGAAGTGTTGCTGGTTTAGTGAAACCTTTGGCAGTTATTCAGTACACACAAACAAACATATTTATCCGATGAAAGCTTTACTTATCAAGCAGAATAAGTACCTGTGGCTTCAACGCAAACTATCCGCAATATAACAGCTTAGTCGGTGGGCGGGTGGGTTTCAGGGTGGGACGGGTTTTTTTGCTTTATAAAGATCATGTTAAAGTTCTGGTTTTCTCAGCACAAAGCGTAAGGAAATATATATCAAGAGTATTGATTTTGCTGTGTGAAATGTGCAGTGGGAGAGCCAGGCACTCCCTGCGCTCTTCTTAAAGCCTGGATGAGACAATGCTGTTTACAGTTGTTTTTGGTTTTCTTGTTAATTTTCGTTGTTTTCTTTTGATATTTTCTGAGAAAAGAGGACAAGAGGTGCACCATCTATCTCTGCGATGCGATTGGTGTGGCATGAACAACTGAAATGGACAAGCATCCTGTTGACATTTCACACATATTTGCTGCTTACATTGTTTTACGGTTATGCCTACTCATCTATTGATTTGCAGATTAATTTATGAACATGTTTATTTAATTATTTATTTATTTATTTATTCCTGACAAAAATCTGTTTATGAATCGCCTATTTATTGGTTATGTTTAGAGAAATGTATGCATCGAAAAGAAACGCTTAATGGGCTTCTCTCTTTCTCTCTCTTTTTTTCAATTTTACAAATAAAATTTTAAATTTAAATATGAAGTCTGTTTGCCTTTGGTTCTTATCTAACTGTATTGAGCATAAAACATGTGGTGCTGTGAAAAGGTAAGTACAAAGTCTTCTTTTTTTTTAAAATGATACTGAAACTTTATTTTTTTATTTTTTGGTAATAGATCTTAATCAGGTTAGACGCCATACTGAATTTAACCTGTATGGAAACGAGGCTGTGAGGGGTCGACTTTACAATGAAACACACTGCATAACGGTCCTAAATTACTTAATTTTCACAACTAATTTTCACTCTTTTTGTCTACTTCGTGATAATCTGAACGGTCCTCTTTCTCTCATATGTAGTGTTGGATATATCTAATCAATCGGCTCGTCCTAAATGGTTTTCATATGTAGACGTGGGAAGTCCTCGTTCTCAATGGTTCACTCTCATGTAGTGCTGGTAAGATTCATTTTAGTGAAATTTTAGCGAATCGTTTCACCCTCTCTCTTACATATGTACTGTATAGCATTGCAAATGCATTTTCGTGAATTGGTTCATCCAGAAAGGTTCTTCCTATTCATAAATACAGTGTTGGAAAGTGAATCTTCTTGTAGTGAATTGGTTCAATCAGATGTATTTTATAAATTAACAGATTTAAAAAAAGGATTCCCCAATTTGAGTCCTTCCATGGAATTTTTTGGCTTTTTACCCACCTTATTTTGCAACATGGAAATAATCTTAGATGTGCGAGACTTCCAATTTATTAGTTGCTATAAATGACTGATCGAAAATCAAACTGCAGTAAATAGTAAAACTATTTGCACCACCAACCAGTGTTTATGATTATGATAATGAATTCAAATAATATGATAACAAATACCAGTTCACAATATCCAGCCTGTCTGGACTGTTTTTGTCCTGTACAGGTAAAATATGACACCAAGCTTCGCACATTCAATTTAGGTGGATTGCATAATATTTAGGTAATCACTTAAATCAATTAAATGGTTACCGCTTACATTTTACAAAACATGATAAAATGTCAACTAAATAGTGAAGCCATAGACATAAAATAGTGAATATACACTTTGTCTGGCAGCTCTAATATGGGAAGAGAATAAATGAGAATGTGGTTGAAACATTACAGTAATGAACTGAGAGAGAGAGAGAGAGAGAAAAGAAAGAAAAGGGAGAGCCTAAAAAAAGTGGAGGCAGTGGCTCATGAAATAAATTGGCCCAATTACAATAAAGTGTGGCTCTTGGTCAGTGTGCGGGCCGAGCAGTTCATCTTTATTACAATCTGTTAATGAAAATCAATCCTGCTCCTGATAGACTCTTATCTCCACGGCCTCTGAGCGCCTCACACGCAGGAAGATAATAAATTAGGGTAATATTGCCTTTGATGAGGGAGTGAATTGCAAATTATCATAACTTTCCAAGATTTATGATACAGATGCCTAATTTTCAGGCTTGGTTTTTTCAGGCATGGAGGTGTAGAGGGGCCATTTGTTAAAAAGTTCTGTAGCGCAAGACTTATTAACAAATACACAATGCGAAACCTAAATGCAGCACATTGTGAGTGAAAGATGCAGGTTTGTAGATCTGAGAGTGAACAAATGACCTCTGCGAATGTTAGATTTTGTCTACAGCGTAAAATAGTAAAGAACTTCCTATAAGGCAATAAAAAATAGAAATAAATCAATATGGAACTGCATTTGCAGCCAATTTTACTTGAGTAATGAGATGTTTCCAGATGAAGCTGCAATTCCAACGAGAAAAACAAAAAATGATGTCAGTCGACAAAGAAAGATGTTTCAAGGGAGTGAAATTGGAAGAAAGACAAAGTAAAACATTTTTGAAATCATGAATCGTGCAAAATAACAAAAGGAATGTGTTTTAATCAAGTTAATACGGTCAGTTTTATTCTGCGTTGACTTGAAAGTTACTGTAAATGATTTAAATGGTTTCCCGACAAGACATACATGAAGCCCCGGATTTTCGAACACAAGCGGGTCGGTCAAATTCTTATTTGCTGTTTGCAAAGTATTTTAAAGGGGACATAACACACACAGGAGCAATGCCCATATAAGGAGTTCCACCCTCGTTTACGTCATGAAGAGCCACGATCGAAAAAAGCTCTCCGAAACTTGTACGAACCCGCAAGTACGATTTTTAGCACAGAAATACTCCGTCATACGTCCAAATTGATTTTTGAAATTTTGTCCATGCTTAGCATGAGAATCCAACTCTTTAACAGTGTAAACAACTCTGAATGCATGAAACAGCATTGTACCCCCATCTCAGACACCTCCTTCAGCAATATCCATCATGAAGTAGTGGCATTTTATGTAAGGTATGCCAAATAAAAATCACATAACAGCGTTAATGTATCCAGTAAAACTGTAAATGCTTGCGGTTATGGTTTCTAATTGATTAATTAAAAAGGCATTTGTTTAAAGAGAGCCATCCATCTATCAATTTATCAATCAACATGCGGCCATGTCCCATGCTGCCTATTTATCTTGCCAAATATCCTATTAATGTCAAATTAAGTTTTCCAGTGTGAATATTAATCACTCTAGAGGCTTATTTTAATTCATTACCCCAATAATTGTCCTTGTTTATTAGATCAAAGTGAACAAGGAACAAAGTGGATTGTCCTTTTTTACACATTTGTTTATATACTTCATTATATACTTATCTAGAACAGAGTAGATCAAGAGCAGTCATTATAATAACACTAATTAAATGACTCGAATGCGGGAAGACGGTAGTGAGACAAAACGCATAAAAAGTGATATAAAAACAGGCGCTGTACTGGAGTAACAGAAGCATATATCTGTCAGCAGGTTAACTACAGGCCTGCGCTATATGTACAAGATGATTTCTGACAGCTCTTAGTATGAAGAACTTGCCTCTTTTCTTCCCCACACATCGGGCACAGTTAAAACTTGAGAGTGATGGAGTGCCGAGAGCTGCAAAGTACAAGAGAAGGGCAGTGTTGGAAAATGCTTAGTTTAGCATGATGAATGTGGTTAAACTGACGACATTTTAATCTCTGTCACGCGACACCCGTCATTTCAGAGCAGTTTCCACCCGAGGCCTGAAGGGTCCTTAACATCAGGGAACGGGAACATGAGCCATGGACGCACAAACGACGTTGCTGGAAAAAGTGAAGGGCAAACGTCAACTGCTTTCATGGCAAACCAGTCAGTCCTTGATTGTTTTTGTGTGGTTCAGTTTGTGTCATTGAGTACAAAAAAAATAAATCAATTGAAGCATTCAGCAGTCTGTACGATAACCTTCATAAGCAACCTATTTTCTAAAATTTTTCTAGAATGGTCTAACAAAAGTGTGAAAATAGTAACTGCTTCATTGGATATGATGATTTTTAACGGTTTTGAACACAGGCCAATCAATAACAAATGTGACGCAATTTGGCAAGCATAAGTAAAAATATGAAAAACTCCCACTGCCAGGACATGGTAATTGTATTCTACAGGGTTTCCACAAATTCTGGCCAATGAATTTCCATGACTTCAGAGTAGTGTACGAGTAATGACTAAAAATATTGCACAATAGCATGGAAGCAGCAGCGTTCACAGGTAAATGAAGTTATTTAATACTTTGTTGATAATAATAATATGGGATTAATATGTACTTTTTTAGAATAACATACTATGTTTCATAAACTGTTCTACATTACAACTCTGTGGAAATGAATGCAACATCTCGTAGCTTTTGACTAAGCCTAATAGACATATTTGTGAGACACAGATGTATTGCTCATGGTAAAAAAAAAACAAAATAGTGGTCTGCCAGTATGCAATTAGTGAGACGTTATGAAAAACGTTACTAGTTCAGATCAGCTGGAGTATTTGGTTTCACCTTTCTCACAATGTATGGGTATTTAGTGAATTTGTGGGTTATCATACGGAATTATAAACAATACCTACACGGTTTAAAACAAGAGGAGTTTAAAAATGGATTTATACTCGTTTAGCAGTGTAATGTTATTTAACTTTATATATATATATATATATGACTACTTTTAAATATTACAAAATTAAATCATTCACTATGTACTGTTATAGGATGGTTTAATTATCAAAAAATATCAATCTGTAGTAAAAACATTTTCAATCTTATTCAGAGCACGCAGCAAAGTGTTTGCTAATTTTTTTACCAAACAAAATCGATTTTTAGTTCACACAAATGACTGTTACTTTTTAAGTCCCACTTTCTTCAGTCACGGGCTTTCGAAGTAAACAGCTTCAAACAGCGACGCAGCGAGAAGCTAACGTTAGTCAGGTTAGAGAACGTTTTGCCAAACTAATAAAATATCTTACTAAACTAAGCAATACGCTTAAATTACGGCAATTAGGGTGTATTAACTTCAAACATCATTTCAGAAGGTAAGTATAATATTTGGTTATCACTACAATCTTTT